ACACACACACACACACACACACACACACACACACACACACACACACACACACACACACACAAATAACAAAAAGCCAAGAGGCCGCAACTGTCATTTAAAAGCTGAATACTACATTTCGGGCACACTGTTATTAACCATAGACGTGACTTTAAATGACAAGATCATATTGGATTCCTGACAGCTGACAAAATGCATTGATGCCTTCATATTAGAAATCAGATAAGATTATGAAAGCAGCAATGGAAATACCAAACCATACAGACTTCAAACTTTCAACACTTTCGAAGTGAAATCAAAATGGTTTCATTTAATATGACACACAAAAAAAACATCCTTTCAATTTAAGATGAAGAAAAAGAAGAAAAATTGTCTCAATTTTTTTTGGCAGTAGCTCTCAGGGTGTTCCTGAGTGAAAGGTATTACAGTGGATCACTACCACACTGAATAGCAAGTACAGTTTACATTGTGCAAGATTATGAAGACGATTTATTTTCTTGTGTTCATAAGGATTGTGACTGACACAATCATTCTTTGGCAGTAGACATCTTGTTCCTTAAACGATTCTGTCCAACAGCATTTCATGCCAATGACAGTTTGTTTGGGATTCAGTGGATGATGAATAACATTTTACATTCTTCATACTTATCCACTTATATATTCATTAGTAATTGCAGATTGAATGACATGAACTCAAAGTCACACCTCATGAGTAGATTCAGACGGAATCTGCGCACCTTTTTGAACTGATCTGAAAGAAATCTGGAATTCTGTGTCTGTCTTGTAAACTGTATGGAAATCTGATGTTTGTGGCTGCAGATTCCTTGTGAGCCTTCTCATGAGCCATTGGTTATTAGAAAGAACAATTACCTAGAAAAAAAGAACGTGCTACCAAGCTTCCTCTCAGAACAGAACAGAACAGAGCAGTAGCAATAATTAACCACTTTCCTATTTCAACTGGAAAGTCTGAATTAAATCTTGATGTTCATATTGGTAGAAACAGTGGTGCATGGCTTGAGCAGATAGTGGCTGGATAAAGGCACAGCGTGAGAGTCTTCTTCCCCTGGCCTGGCATCTGGCCCTCATTCTTGCAGTTTGAAGTGGAAGCTATTTGTGCTCCACTGGGTGAGGTCACAGTTTAGCATGGTGCGCTCCGTAAAGCTCACGCTTCCCTCTCGGTCGATGAGGATGACTGTATTGGTCCTGAGAGACAAAAATATGACACTGGTCAAACTTCAAAATTGGAGGTAAAATAGAAAGTGCAGCATGAATTGGTTGAGTGTCACCCTGCTCTATGGAGAGAGAAAGAAGTAAGAGTAGGACTAGCATGAGTGGACCTTGTGCCGTATCCTGGTGAGCGCACACACACTGCAGACAGGGCTCGGAGTATGGCCTTACTGAAGCCCACACCTTGACTTTCCTGTGCGGGGTCCGGGGTGTTTCTGGAAAGAGCAGAGGTGAGATTCTTACGACTTTAGTGTGACAAATCATGCTGGTGCTTTGATAAAGACCTGAGCATTTTAAGAATGCAGAGAAATTCTACAAGTATACAAGCAGAGGCGTCATGGCCATTCAAAGTGATTTTAGAGCCAAGTGGATTTTGAATGCAGCTTCCAAAAGACAAAAAATAACCGAATAATATTTTCTATATTTGAAACAATCACACCAGCATGATTAAATTGTTCAGCGCGTCATATCATCAGCTGTTAAAATTCAAATCTGCGTTCGCTGTCTGGCACTGAGCCAGATACAGATGCGTTTTACAGCACTGCGCATTATAAACAATCACACACGATGCTGTTGAGCTTATGAGTGCAATGGCCAATCAGAGGCGTTCAGATGAGTCATCGCTAAAATGCCTGTGTTTTGTTCACTCGCTCGCTGTCTGAATACCTCTTTCTGGCGAATTCTCTGGTTATAAACAACAAACTGCAGATGTGTGTATGACTCTGTAAGTAAGATATTCATTTCACAGTGTAAACAGCTTCAGTGATTTTAATGGGAGTTTTTGAGAGAGCTTGAACTCTAGACTGTCAGTGAAAATGTTCTTTGATCAAGTAAATTTCTTTGCTCTCTTTCTGTACAATGAAAGTGTTATGATAAGTAGCCTAACTTACAATGTTTTTATTCACATTAACTTTCAATGTTAAATTCACATTAAATATAAATCAAATAACTTTTATTGTCACATCACCACAGCACATATGCCTTGGTGAGTGAAATTCTTGGGAGCGTGCTCCACACAACACGGCTGCCATGCTCGGCGCCATCTTGACTGTTAAAGTCAGTCGTATTAAAAATATTTTAGGCTATGGCATGACACCCATATCTGTTACTTAAATAAACACAGGTTTTTATGTATAGTTAATAGACTACATTATTAGGCTACTTTGACCATCGCCCACTATAGATCAACTAACATTATCTATAAAGGTGAGAATCGAGATATTTCATGATATAGTTAATGTGTTTTGTAATGTTTCGAATAAAAAGGAAAATAAATAAAACATGAGTGCTATTGTGGCTGCTGTGTCACATGACAACCCCCCCCCCCCC